CCCAGGAACAGGACAAGTCAAAACATTTCTGCACCAAAAGAAGCAAACACATTCCAAGCTTCTGTGTGAATCCCTCGTGCTGCAATTCCTGAAGGAAAACTGCAGTTCACAGGTTAGTTAAGATCTAATATTTGGCTTTGCAACCCGATGTGTTGCTGCAGGAGCAACCAACCAGCCCATGCTCTGCTCTGACACAGATTTCCTTCTGCAGCAACCCCACACCAGGAGGACACTCCAAACACCCCCAGCAGCCTCGTGGTGTCCCCAGTTTGTGCCTGACCTTGAAAACATTGCTCTGCGTGGAGCGCTCGATGCCCAGGTGACACATGGCAGCTCTGGTCACCTCGAAGCTGTCCTCTGCAAAGCCAAACAGGGGCTGGTTAAACCAGAGCCATGCACACAAACACAAGCAAGCAGGACACTGCTCAGCTCCAGCTCGGCTGGAATTGTCACAGGACACCAAGGGAGCCAGAGGCAGTTTGGGTAAATCCCCCAGTACGGGCTGGAGAACCCAGTCCCTGACTCAGTGCTGCCTCTGTGGCTCTCCAGTGAGGCAGCAGGTGCTGAAGCACATCCAGAGACAAGACAGTTTCAAAACACAGCCCCAGAGATGCAAATTCACCAGCCAGAAACAGCTGCTTTAGGCCAGGTTGAGTTTTAAGATTTAACAGTGCAAACTGAAACTTCAAAAGAATCCCACTAATGCAGGTGGCCCTGGGTCACGGGATTGAACAGGGCATATTTTTGCCTGCCTTCCTTCTAAGTTCCAGCTATTATTAATGCACAGTGAAACTCATCTTTACCATCCAAGTTTCTTTCAGGATTTGGCAGCCAGCGGTACTCAGCCCCTTCTGGAAGGTTCCACTCCAGCCTCTCCTCTGCAGTAGCACCTTTTGTGATCTGGAGGCAGAAAACAAGGTAAAGATTGAATTGTGCCTTTGGTATTTACAGCTCACAGACAAGGAAGAGTAACATACTGGGAGGGTGGTTTAATTTGGAAGCTTGGCAGACAGGGAAACTGTTAATTATTAAAAGTTGCAACTGTGCTAAATCTGGTGATTTCATCCCACTGTTTGTCAGAAACACGCAGCAAAATTAACTGAAGGCAAACCTGATAAAAAATATGAAAGTTTCTTTCATTGGGGGCCTGATAGGCAACTCTGGTCTTCTCCAAAAGGAAAGTCTGAATGGAAGCACTGCTCAGATGGTGGAATCTAGAGGGGGAAAAAGAGCAAAGATTTCAACAAAACCTCTTCACAGAATCCAACAGATGCTGTGTTTTGTGACACCAACTGACTGTGAATGCTTTGCAGTTCACCTTCAGTTTTGTGCAAGCCTAATTTCATATTTCATTCAGAGTTCTTAACTGCATCTCTGTTCTTCCACTGCTCTGTTTGAGAGATCAGGGTGTCTCAAACCATGACACAGGGTGAGAGCTTGCAGAAACAAGAAGGGAAATAATAACAGTGTAAGCTGCCAGCAAACCCAAAATACTCTCTAAAGGCAGATCAAATATCTGTGGCAGACTTCAGCAACAGGCTTGTGAAGGAACAAGACAATAGGGGGGTGACAGAGTCACTGTTACCTGTCCAGCTGGAGCTGGATGTACTTCCCAAAGCGGCTGCTGTTGTTGTTCCGCAGGGTGCACGCGTTGCCTGTGGAATTGCCAGGGACAGAACAATCAGAGTGGTTCCACTCTCCCATGCAGGACATACAGATACTAAGGGTGATTTGATCCTGTATTTTGAGAGTTTGCTTTTAAGGAGAGGACCAAGACATAGCTTGGATTTGTGTACTAACAAAGAAAATTCCCACGGTGGCCGTTGCTGCTTTTTGCTGTTAAAAAAGCCTCATTTACCAAATGCTTCCATGACAGGGTTGGAGTCCAACACCCTCCTCTCTATCCTTTCCACGGTTTCATTGCCTTTTGGGGAGATAACTGAAGCAGCAACAGAGGCATAGAACTTCATAAGGCAGCGAGAGGTCCAGGTCTGCAAGAGAGAGGCTTGACAATAGGGCCTTGTTTTTCCCATGTTATCAGCTGTGTCAGTCAGGGAGCAGTGCTGGCTGCTGGAGACACAGTGTGCAGCTGGTGGGGAGGCTAAAGAGAGGAACTGTGTCAGGCTGATAGCTCTGGTTCAGTGGAAACTCTGTGCCACAGACACATTGAAAGGCTGTTGGAGTGGGAGTGCTTTGCTGAATGGCAGCTTCATTGAGATGTCACCATCTGGAAGCTCAGCCAGAATTAACAGCCAGTGTCTTAAGATGAAGGGAATATAAACGGATTTTGAGTCATTAACACCCAGCAAATCAGTTTGTTCTCAGGCTTAAAAATACCCTCAGTATTGTCCTGAGCAGGGAAGGGCCCAGGACAGGCTCTGAACTCTCTGCTCCATCTAAGTCTCTACACAGGGTTTGCTGACACCTACATGAGCTCCTGGGCAGACCAGGCATCAACTCAGGTGCAGTTCCTGTTGAATGATTCAAACCCAGCCCTCCCAGAAATGACAGATGTCACCTGAAGAGCAGCTATATTAAGCAGAGTGTGTTTTAACTGCAGCAATCACTTAATGCTTCACACATATTTCAAGACAGTCACACTGGAGCAGACTGGCTACGTGCTCCATCAGAGGGGGTTTTAATTCATCTCAGCTCCCTCACTGCAATACTCTGCACTACAAATCACTGGCAGATCTCAAAACTTAAGAGCAATGTCATAAAAAAAGAAATTTTCTTACCTTCCCAGCACCACTTTCTCCACTCACAATGATGGACTGGTTCACAGGGTCCATCTGGTTTTGGACGTTTCTGTAGGTTTGCTCAGCCACTGCAAAGATGTGAGGTTTTAAATCCTGGCAGTGAAAGAGAATATTCAGATTTAAGAGAACAGCAATTACACAGTTCAACAGCAAGGGACAGTAAAGGTCATCTCACATTTACCTGAAAAAAAGTGCTGCTCTTTTCACAGAACTAATATTTCACTAGAAATGGGTTTTAGCTTTTAGGAGTGTTTTGCTCACACAGATTTTGAGGAGCCTGATATGTGGGTTCTGCAGAAGGACAGTTATTTCAGACACAAGCATTACCTGAGGACGAGGTGCAACATGGTACTCTCTCATAAGCTCAGGGGAATAGAGGCAGGAGAAAGGCTGGAATGGATTTAAAGCCACGAGGCTGCAGCCAGCATTGGTGTAAAACAAGTTGACTCTGTATCTTGCTTGAAGACATCTCAGAACTGAAAAACACACCTTCTGTTAGCACCTTTTGCAAAGTGTATTTGATTCATCCTGAGCCTATTTGGAACAAAAACCCTCAGGTATGTTACCTATTAGGTTTAACAGAGAATGAGGTGACCAAGAGAGAGATATGGGTCTAATGTACATAACAATGTCTTCAAGAGTTGTCCTTGGTTGTAAAAATCTTAGAGGATCTGCTATTCCATTCAATAAATCCTGTTTTTTTTCTTTTTTCACACAGTCCTAGAGGGCAAATCTGTTCCCTTGCAGAACAAACAGGCAAGAACTCCCCATCTCTGCTAGGAACAGGCCTTGGCTGCTTCTAAAAGCATCATCTTTAAAAGTTGAGGGAGGAATTTACTTTTTAAGACCAATTTCATGGCTATATTTGGAATCTAAGTTAGAGCTCGTTTTCTGATGTGTTCAGTGACACCAAACTGCAGTGCCAAGGTCCTGCAGGAGTCCTGCAACAGTGTTAACTCATCCCTGGCTGCCTGAACCAACACCAGCCATGTGAGCTCTGCATGCAGAGCGTGCTAAGTGTGACTTTCAAAGGCTCAGAACAGGCTTTAATAGGCTTTGAATCTTTAACTACTGTGTTCATGGCACTATTAATGCAATGAGAGCAGGAACTACCCCAGATCAGGAGCCAGGGAAAGTGATCCCTCAGGAGATCCTCCCCTGGCTGCTCCTACCTGTCGTGGTTGTCACTGGATTAACTTTGGTGAGGTCATCAAAAAGGTGCAGTTTCTCTTCATCACTGAGGAAGGCTCTAACTTCTTCTTCAAATGATTCACTGAGGTCATTCTGGATGAGAGAGTCTCCTCTTTGGCCGTTTTCCTAAAGGGGGTGTCAGATCAGCACCAGTCAAAGGCTGAATCCAGCTGGACTTTCACCTCATCCACTATTCCAGCTCTTCTACTGCTCCCATGTCCAACTGTGGACCAACACAACTGCAGTTTTCCCAGCAGAGACTTTATTTCAGGGTACACACATCACAGCCAGGGGGGAGAAATGGTGCTGCTGGAAGAGCTGGCCTGCATTAGCTGAAGATTTGTCCCCTTTGAATCACCAGAAGTGTTCAAATCTTTGCCTCTGGGCTCCCGTGCCCTTGACAATATTGGCTGGAAGGACACACTTATTGTACAAACATAATGGAAAACTAAGAGAGATTCCAGGTCCTGTTTGTCATTTCCAGGGAAAGGAGAGGTTAGATAAGAAAATGAAGAAGGGAATAAATACCCTTAAGGATGTGCAATGTACCTGCCCTATTAAAGCCAAGGGCACAACAGAGATCCCTGCCTGCTGTTGGTAGCACAGCTCAAACCCACAGTATATAGGTCCAGTCAATTCATGAAGTAGGGGTGAATATTTATTAGTGGTTACCTAATCTTGACTGCATGGAAATAAGCCAAGAATTCTTTCCTGGCAGTAAAATTTAATTAGCACATGCAATTCCTGGTTTTCTCTTTACCTGCTTTGGCATCTTGTCCAGGCCTGTGGATGGGAATGCTGGAGAGGAGCCTTACTTTAGGGTACTTCATTCAAATCAGACTGAAGGATGCTTAAATAAGAAAAAAAGGCATTTAGAACCAAATAACTCTGTACATGTTGTTCTCCAGAGGCAAAGCCCAAAGGCTTCAGACAGAATTACTGATCCCAGTGGGACCAAGCAACATTGGAAGCCTACCCAGACTATCAGAGTGATCATCACATGTTCTGCTGCCCCTGCAAATAAAGCTGATTTGGAGAGAATAATGAATCTTTCCTTACATCAGGAATAAAATGCTTTGTTTCTCTTGAATTACTAAAGCAAGGTTTCTGGGCAAGAAATTATAACTTTTTATTAAATTCCTCCTGTTTGGCCAGGAAAGATTTGTGGTCTGACAGTGTCGGAGGAGCCGCCAGTGCTTTTGGAAAGGCTGTGACTCAGAGAAGTTTGTACTGCAGCAGAAACGAGATAGGCTGCTGTCCCCTTCCTGTTTCCTCTGGAAAACTGTGGAGCCAACCCAAGGTGAGTCAAGCCCTTCAGATTTCTGTGGTAAACACAGAGATTCCAGTCACAGAGCCAGGAAGAATTCTGTCCTTCCAGCAGCTGAAACTGCCATTACTTCCATTCTATTTCTAATTCTATTCTAATTTTAATTCTATTCCAATTCTATTATAGTCTATTATAATTATATTCTATTCCAATTCTACTATGTGATAGTCTATTTTAATTCTATTCTAATATGTAATATTCTATGCCAATTCTACTTATATTTTTCTATTCTATTCTATTCCATTCTATTCTATACTATACTATTCTATTCCTTTTCCATTCCTTTTCCATTCCTTATTCCATTCTTACCTGGCATGAAAACACCACTTAGCGCCACGTTCGATCCCCGAGCTGATGCTCGCAGAGCTCAGGG